AATGGATTTCTGGCACCAAAGAGGCTGTGGAGCTTCTGGAGTCCCCCTTGCAGGAGGACCTCCTGAGAAGACAGCTGGGAGACAGGAGAGAAGAATCAGGAGGCAGAGGAGGAATACAAGTCCAGCTCCCAATGCAGCCATACCTAAAGCCCAAGCTTTTGGTAGAAATGCGCTCTTAGCTCGATTTCTGCTTACTCCAGTTTGGACCTGACCTTCTGTCACTGCCTTTGTAGCTAACGCTCAGGGATAGCATTAATTTTGCTAATATTTTCTCAAAGTAAGAAGCTACTGTATTGCCACCATTGTTTTTAATCTCTTGGGGGAGAGTCTCAAAACAAGAGAGGCATCACGCTGTGGGTGCTGTATGGGACACCTGTCACCCTCCATACATTGCTTATGCCATTTTTTGTTTGTTTATTTTTGCAGAACCGGGGATTGAACTAAGGTCCTTGTGCTTGCCAGGCAAGCATGTATTCTACTGAGCTATCTCCTCAGTCCCTGCTTATGCCAGTTTAAAGTTACTTGACACAATGACAAGTTAGCCTCTCTTCTGGGCTTTCAAAATTGCCTTTGGAGGGCTGGCGAGATAGCTCAGTGGACTAAGCACCTGCTTAGGCAAGTGCAAGGACCTGGGTTCAATCCTTGGTCCCACATGGTACACTGACCTCACCCGTGGGGGTGCTGAGTCAGCCACTGAGACTGGGAGTGGTGGTGCATGCCTGTAATCCCAGTGCTGGGGAGGCTGAAAACAGGAAGATCACTACAAGTCCAAGCAGCATAGTGAGATCCTGTACCAAACACATTAAAAAAAAATAAATTGCCTTTGGGCAGCTGAACTGAATGCTGTGCTGAAGGCAAAGGGTCCCCCACTGCAGGCAAAGGGTCCCTTCACACACTGCTCCCCCAGCCTCCTCCGCAGGGCCCGAGCCACTGGGCAAGCACCACCTACTGAGAGTCAGGCTTGTACCCTCCTCAGAGGCTGCAGCCTCCACCTGTGTGGCACTGCCTAGGCCTGGCTCCCAGCTGCCTCCGAGCACCCTGGGGATTTGTGAGAATTCCCTAGAGACAGCTCTAGCCGCGAGGCTTGGAAAGTATCGGAGCAAGAAGAGCATGAAAACCAGCATGAGATTTACTGTAAGCAACCAGAGATCTTAAGAAAGAAAATAAACGGCCTGAAATCAAGTGGAAAAAAATAAAACCTTTACAGGGCTCTGCACACAGCCTGGGGTAAACAAACCTCAAAGGCCGTGTCTCGATTGCTCTTTGGAGTGGTTGGGCTGTGCTCAGCTGGGTCTGCCTCTGTCCAAGGCCCCCACCCGGGCTCTGTTCTAACTTAGGAATGGCCTGGTTCAGGAGTCAGTGACGGGTGCCAGGGTGGCCCTGGGCTTTAGGAGGCAGCCTCTGCCTGGAAGGAGACACCATATGCCCTTCTGCCACACTCCCACTCGCAGTCACCTGCTCAACAAGGCAGCCTTCACACAACCCCAAACTCATCACCAAAGCCTGCGTCACCTCCCACCCAGGTGTACAGATCCCTCCCACCCACACACTCATATCTCGCACAGGCGTACACACACACTGCACTCAGAGCCAGCTGGGTGGATCCTATCCTCCCTCCGCTGACCTCAGGATCCTATCTCTTTGGGCCTGCAGGACATGTTACCACTGACCGAAGTGGTAACAGACCATGTTGGAACGGCATCAAAGGGCTCTGGAAGAGCCGACTGCAAAGCCCAGAGCACGAAAGCCTTGGGCAGCCCTCCGCAGCTCGGAGGCTGCGGAGCAGTGCTGGCAGAGCTGCAGCTCCTCCAGAGGGGGCTTCTGGCCAAGCCTGGGGACCCAGAGGCAGGCAAGAGACCCACCCCCATCCCTGCCGCCTCTGCACCTGTCAAAGTCATTCTGCTGCATCTCCCTTACCTATCAAGCTTTAAAATAGGTTTTCTGAAAAACAAATCAGACTTTCACTACAAAGAGTCTAAGAGTACTAGCACAGCTCTGTACTATTAGCGATAAAGAACCTATGACTCAGGCTGGGCCAATTACAGGCTTGTCAGGAGCCACACTGAGAAGGGGTTCTGATGCTACAGCAAAGCCAACTGTGCCTGCTCTTATGTGACAGGTCACCGCCTGGGCTGCCCTGGATAGGCTAAGCAGCAAGGAGATATTTACACCTGCAAGACCAAATGTAAGGAAAGACCTTTGCAGCTGCCTATCCCAGAGGCAGGAGGTGGGTTTTTCCAGTTAGGGATGACAGACTGAAGACTGTCATCATTGCCCAGGGGACAGCACAACTTCAGCCAAGCCCAGCCCCAACAGATAGCCAGGGCAGGGAGTGCCAGAGAGCCAGGGACACATCGCGGAAATGCCATGCGGAGGCACGTGAGGGGGCTCTCCCAGGGTCTTTGTCGCAGAGGCTGAGGCAATGCCTTCTCCAGAGCCCTCCCAAGAGCCAAGGGTGCTAACATGCTGAGAGAAGACTGCCATGTGAGTCCCAGGGCTGGGCAGCACCAGCACTGCCCAGGCTGGCCTCATCCTCGCTGACATAGCTGTCCTCCTCCACCAGGAAGCCCCAGGGTGCTGTGTTATCTGCAGTACCCTAGAGGATCTACAGCAGTCACAGCGGACCATAGATTTGAAGCAGGGCTCCAAGGCAGCCCGTGGAGCCCAGGTTCTCCCACTTCCTTGAATTTGAGATCAGACATGGGGTGTCTCCTTCAGTTCACTCCTGCAATTTACAGCCCAGCTAGGACTTGGTCCTCTCCCTGCCTCTCAAGCCCCAGTGCAAAGGGACACTAACTGCTCAGGGGCCACTGCAGCCCATGAAGTCCCTGCCAAGGGTCAACATTGCCATAGAGGGTCAACCACGAGCTCCAGGACATCCTCTAGCTGTGATCACACTGCCTCCACCAGGTTATCAAGATAAGCCAGAAAGTTGGAAAAGGCAGGCATCTGAAGGTAGCTCCCACTGTGTGAGGTGTTGCCCAAGGAGGGGCAGTGCTGAAGGTAGGAATCCATCACTCCCCAGCCATGGGGGAAGGAGCTCCAGCCCAGGGCCTGACGCCATGCGTGTCTTCAGGTTTGGTGTGTGAGGAGCATCACAGGAGAGCTGGCCAGGCCAGCGCCGCGCCAGCTTGCTCACCGATAACCTGGCATGAGCCCTCACTCCCTAAGCAACAGCGACAATGGGGCACCCCTGGTTGGGGGTTGTGATGGGGACTCCAGGGGCTGTTTGCACCACATGTCAAGCCAAAGGATCGGACCACGTGTACAGGAAGCTTCATAAATGCTGGTGGCAGTGTTCTCACTGCCCATAGGATGTCCCTCTCTACTGGCCTCTAAGGAGAGGGGATGGGAGACAAAGGGGTGAGACAAAGCCCACGTCATGGACCAACACCACAGCAGGCCTCTGTGTGGCTTTTTCTGTCCAAGGAGGCCTCAAGACATCTGCCTGCAGGGCCCAAGGATGGTCAGTCCTCAGGGGTCCTTCCTGGGGGACTGCTGGAGTCTTGTCTGTGCATGCATGTCTATGTGTGTATCTGTGTGCATTGGTGTGTCTCTAAGAAGGCATGTGTGTGTCTGCGTGTGTGTGTGTGTGTGTGTGTGTGTGTGTGTCGGGGGGGCTGTGGCTATAGCCCCATTAGCATGGGGTTGTGCAGCTGTGTGGGCCTGTCGATCCTGGGACAGCCTTCCTCACTGATGGCTCACAGGAGCCTGGATAGGGACACATAGCAGCACGTGTGTGTCCCAGAGACCCCTGCACCAGGCATACGCTCAAGCCCCAAGTCAGAGATCCCTTGCACAGATGGGGAAGCTGAGGTTAGCCCCACTAGGCCTGCCCTCCTGAGAGCACCATTCTCCTCAGCAGGGCTGGGAGACACCTTGGCCTGTCCTCCAACCAGGGGATTAGCAGACTGGGCCTGGGAGAAGGTGGCGCATGCGGCTTACGGTCACCGCACACGCGAGTCCAGGCTAGGAATGAATCGTATCATTATGCAGGATTAGAAGAAAAATGCCATTACAGAGTGCTGTGCATGCACCAGTTTAATAAGGTCAGTAGCAGCAAGCAGCAGGCAGGCTGGTGCAAGAGGCCACAGAGCCCCTGCCGTCCCTTCCCTGTCAGTAGAGGTCTGGAAAATGGCCAGCGACAGGCCTAGCCAGACGCAGCCAGAGCAGAGAAGCAAAGATCGTCTGCCAGGGCCTCCTCCATCCTACCTCTGCACACCTCAGGCTGCTCAGAAACTCCTCTCTTCCCAGCCTGTTGGGAGGTGCTCCCAAATCCTTCCCCCAAGGCCTCTCTGAAGTAAGTCACTCCAGGTACCCAGGCCCTTGGGCTCTGCTTCTGCTCAGAAGGGAGTCAGGCAATGGACTGCACATTACGGAACTATTGATGTACTATTAATCTGTTGCACTCTCCAGTGACACGATGCCCAGGTGACACGCACAGGTGAGAGGCCTAGACAGCTCCCAAGCACAGAGCTGTCTGGAGGAACTCGTTTCCATGGCAGCGTTGGGGACCACATTGATCACAGTGCATGGAACAGGGGCTCTCTTCCAGCAAGGGTCAAACAGGGACATTAGGGCCAGCAGCCTACTTCTCTCCCTGCCATATCCACCCCAGGGGCTGGCTCCTTGCCAGTGTCTTGCGCCTTACCCTCTAGTGAGGGTAAGGACCCTGAAGTCTCAGCCTCGACTGTACACCCCCGGCACATGTAGCAAGGGGGTAAGTATGTGCACCCTTGCCGACTGAGAGAGATGCCTCTCGAGTTGTCCTAAAGTATGTTGAGAGACCCAGGAAAAGGGAACTCTGGACAAGCGTACCCACAGCTCATCACTGCTGTCACTCCTACCAGTACACTGTCCCCTCTTCCTCCACCCACCTTAGGCACGCCTTCAGCAATATCCCCTGAGCCTTCACTAGGGCCAGGCAAGGCAGGGGTTCAGAAGGTGGCAGGAAAGGAGCAGACAGCCCCAGCCTAGTGGTTGAGGAGGAAGATACTCACAGCTCGCAGGACCTGGACAGGATGGCAGACAGGGTGAGCAGGATGCATCCGTAGGGACCTGCTTCAAACTGGGAGAGAAGAAAGGAGTGAGTCCCGTCTCAGGCACGCCTCCCTCCACTCAGCTGCAACCTCTGCCGGGAACCACAGAGTGGCTGCCCCGGACTCCCACCTCCAGGCCTCCAGCCTGGCCTGGGGCATCACTCAGTGGCCACAGGGCAGGCCCCATGCAGATCTCACCAGCCAGATTCCCCTAAAAGACACCAGCCTGAGTGACAGCATGGAACAGAGAGCACCTATTCTAGCTTGGAGGATGTCTGTGACCTTAGCAACCGCAAGACTGGTAAGACCGCAGCAGCCACAGCAGGCTCCACTGAGGTGCCATTGTCTCCCCTGGGCGCTGTCAGCATGAATACCCAGCACACTGGGGAGCGCGGGCAGTGAAGACTGCCTGCTGTCTGCCAGAGACTAAGGCTCAGGGACTAAGCGGCTTTGCTTGAGTTCCCGCAGCTCCTGGGTATGGGGGCCAGTGTCAGGGGCCCCACTCAATGCCAGCTCCGCACTGCAGGCATGGAGGGCAGCAGGCTTAGAGCAGGACCAGGACCAGGGTGCAGTGTGGGAAGTGGGCCGTGCAAGGGTGTCTTCTTTGTAAACTTTACTACTTTAAGATATTTTAAAAGGTCAAATATTTGATATCTTTCATCATGAATATTTTAGATTTTTATTTTTAAAATATATCATTTGTGTTCATCTCTAAACTTTCACACCCCTTTAAGTTTTGCACTCAAAGCTTCTCCCCCAGATACAACCCTGGCAGGGAGCCATGTGCAAAAAGCCTGGCTGCGTGGGGTAGAAATCCTGGCTGTGTGTCTTTCAGTTCTACAGTCATAGGGATATTTCCTGGCCTCTCTGTCCTCTGTTTTTTCAATAATTCGATAGTTGGGACAAGAACTGTGGTAATCTACCCTCATCAAGTTACTGTAAAGAGCGAGTTAACACCGCTTAGACTACAGCCTGGCACCTGTGTGAGCTGTTAGGCTATCACTGGCTGCACACTGCCCACCTGTCCAGTGAGCCCACTGGGCACAGCCAACCCTGGAGAACCACACAAGCGAGTGGAAGGCCCTGCTCTGTGCACCTGGAGGCTTTATCTGCATCTAGTCATTCAGTGACTAAGTTTACCCATCTGGTCTTTGTTTCTTACACTGAGTGAAATTTTACTGCCAACAGGACATTCCCTGCTAAGGCTATCTTGGTGCAAAGGGAGGCGCAGATCCGGCCTTTCAGGGAAGAAAGAACAAGCAACTTGGACAGAGTGGGGAAGGGCTCACGGTCATGGACACGCAGGCTCCTGAGAAACTCCCAGAAAGGGTTCCCAGGAGACATGGAGCCTGTGGAGGAAGGTGGGCCAAGGAAGCTCTCTGGGGAGCAATGTCTACTCAAAACCCAAGCAACCGCGGGGATCAGGGGAGAAGAGACCACTCCTGGAGGCACGGGAAGCACATGCAGAGGCCCGGAGAGCCAGCAAGCTGACTAGGCTGGGCAGAGAACAGCCCCGAGGACATCACCTTTTATTCTACAACCAAGCTCCAGGGTTACTTTGTGGGATATATGAAAGGCATAAATGTACAACAATTTTAGGTCACCTTTGTCTTGGTCCTGTGGCCAAACCAGTCTGTCACCCCCACTGCCCTCACTTTCCCCATTTGCAGAACACAGATAATAAGACAGCCCTCTGCATATCAGCTTGGTTTTCCAGCACACACATTCCTGGAGACGTCTGTGGCGTGTTCTGACAACTGCAGAGTAAAGTGGAGGTCCCCACACGGTGGGGGACATATGTCCACAACTCAGCTACAGAGGCGCATGCTGCCTTCGGGGAGCTGCAGGACTCTCGGGCTCTATTCCCTTCCTGGATGCCGACTGATTTCCACCTTGTCTTGGGGAAGCCCTGGCACCATCCAGGTCCAGATCCCCTTGGCCCGGCCTGCCACACCCACTGACTTATGGACACAGTGGAGTCAGGGACACAGGAACCCCCTCACTGGGGAACGGGTAGCCCTGATTGCCTGGCACTCCCCCCATGGGCCCTCGCCCAGAGCCCTCTACTGAGGGAGGAGAAAGGGCCCTGCCTGGGGTGACTTGCCCTTGCTGGACACAACTGACTGGGCCCATATTCCCTTCTGCTTTTAAAAACATTGATTAAAATTATCTCATAAGTTCAAGCTGCCAAGACATAGGAGGCGGCAGGGTACATGCCTGCTTGAAAGGCCAGCTCAGCAGGGAAATGGGCCGGGAACCACGGAGAGGGGCGGGAACAGTGTGGAGGGCCACTGGGGAAGAAGGGGGCCATTCTTTCAGCACAGCACACAGCCCTAGAGAGACAGATGGGTGCCCTCTGAGGGGCTCCACGGGAGGCAGGGGCAGCCTGCATCCCTAGCTGTCCTGGGTCGCCAGACACCTCGCCCCGCAGGGGAGCGGTAATTAAAACCCAGCAAGGAGGCTATTTATGTTGGCCAAGATGGTATGGTGTGCATTTCCAGGCCTGGCACAAAGAGCCCCTCTTAGGCCCAGTCCATGAAAAATGGATTTGGTGAGCTGAGTGCTGAGGCAGCTCCACCACTTCCAGCAAAAACATAAATTAAACTGGGGCGGGTGGAGAGAGGGAGGGCACTGTGTGCCAAAGTCGGGGTTGGTAGTGACGAGCTGCAGCCAGGAGCCACAGCCAGTAATGAGAGGGCGGGGAGCCCAGGAGAGTTACTGAAGGAAAGCGGCCCCTGGCCAGGCTGTGGGGCCTGTCGTCTGGGTCCCTTTCTTGCTCCCTGTCATGTTCAGGCTCCATACAGTCCCTGGGCCACAGGCAAGGAGGTAAGGTCCCCTCAATGGTCAGAACCCAGGACCCTGGGTATAAGGATCCAGCCCAGGAGCATCAGGGCAGTGAGCAGGCCTCAGAACCCCGGGTCACCCCACATCCCCTCTGTCTTCCAGCGCTCCTCCAATCGCATCCCTTTCCTGGCAGTGTCGCACTGTGTCCAACCTGGTCAAGCCTCACACACGGACACACAGGGCTCTCCCCTTGCTCGGGTGCACTGCTGTAGTCTCGGGACACCCTGGGTCTCACAAGGGGAATGCTCCTGCTCATCAAGGCAGACTGTCTGTGATTTGTTGGAAAACCTTCCCTACGAATCTCAGGTTTCTCTCTGAGAATCATAACCGGATCTAGAACTTCTCTGACAATTGCCCCATCTTCCAGATGAGAAAACTAAGGCCCAAGGACTTTCAAAGACTGCATGTGACCAAGCAGTGAGCCATAGAAGACTACGGGGCATCTGTTCAGGCCCTCCCACTACTCTAGGAAGGGTGGGGACACACAGTATTGGCAGATGGCCCTCTGGGCTATTCCAGGGAAGAATTCAAGAAAGCCAGGGACGTAGGGGATAGCAACAGCCAGCCCAGGACTCCTGATGCCTGGGCCAGGACTCCTGTCTACACACACGCCAGACAGAGCAGCCTACACGGAAAGGAAGTTGTTCTAATTTGGGTCACTATGCAGGCCCCTCCCCACACTGCCAGCATGTACAGCCCTACTTGGAGTTTCCAGAGCCTCTGACAGACCCACACTCAAACTGGCCCAACACACTGCCAGCAGGGAGCACACAGATGTCCTCTAACGGGGCCAGGTGTCCGTCCTCACTGCCCAGCCCCCAACCCACCTCCTCTCCACCCTTCTGTTGGTCCTGTGAGCCCCATCATGGACAAAGCTGAGACCGCCAGAAGCAGTGGCTGCGCTCCTGTGACCATTGTCTAGTGGCTGCCTCCCTTCCCTCTGACTCAGTCTGCCCAGCCCTGCTCTCTGCAACCCCTTCAGCTGCTTGCTGAGCCTGCGTCCACGGCCATTCTGCACAGATGCAAAGGAGAGATTGTGTCCCCTGCCTCAACCCTTGTTGTACAATCCACATCACCCCACTATCCTCCGCTCTGTCACCCAGAGTCCAGCCCAGGCTTCTTCCCAACCTCCTCGCCAAGCCAGAGTAGGGGTAACAGGGGAGACAACTCCAACCTACCACTGTCTCCTGCATGATGAAAATGAAAAAGCTTCCCAAAGAAGTCATTGCTCATACCTGGTGCACCGTGTGTTGGAGAAAAGTCGCCAGCTCTTCATAGCAGGACACACTGTAGAGCGTGAGCTGAGAAGGAACACACTGGATGAACTGCCATGCTCAGGACCCAGACTGCACCCCTCACGGTCAGCCCCTGCAGCCTGAGCCCCAGTGGCAATGGCTCTGGGCAGAGCACAGACCCTGCAGAGCTGGCACTGGGCAGCTCTGCACACCTGAGAGTGGCTTAGCTCAGCCCACCCCGCAGCAGCCCTTGGTCCACCTGAGAGCCCCCAGGAGGCCCACGTCCTGACACCAAGGCACAGGACCCTGCATTCTGTGTTGCCGTACAAGAGGGTTGTTGCCATGGCAAGGCACAGTGTCTGAGGAGTGTCAAGGGACAGCCGGGGCTGTCCAAATCATAAGAGTCAGGCTGGGTCGCAGCTCCACAGGTGGATCCTGAGCTAACAAACAGCAGCAGATTGGGTCCCCTTTGCTTTCTTTGGCAGGTCAAGAGAAATATTTTGAATAAAAAATTTAACAAAACGAAGCCACTAATTAATGTCCCAAGGTCCCTCATGCCCCAAGCTAGGACACATGAATCAAGATGGTTAAAATAAATCTCAGTGAAGAGGGAGCAGCTTTTGAAAACCTTCACTGCATCTGCATTTTCAAAACTACAGAAACGTCCATCTCACCTTTCATATCACCATGTCTGACTTCATGGCAAGCGCCGCCAAGGCTACCAAGCACGTTCTAAACTCCTCCTTTTCCCCCACCTGCTCCCCTCCCGTAAGAACCCTGCAGAAGATGCTAAGGGCTGGGGCTTAGCCAACGGCACACTCAGTCCTGTCATCCTCAAGGTGATGGAGCTGTTGGCCCTTTGGGGCATAAAGCAGCCCTGGCAGGTGTCCATCCCCAAAGCCGCCCACCTCTGCCCACTCCACAGGCCTGGGCTGCAGGGAGGGTGGCCTGTCCCAGCTGGGGATGGATTTACTTATGTGAAAGGAGACATTCCCCAAACAAAGCCAAAGATTGCGTGACAATTTTCCAGAAAGCCGTACTGTTTCTAAGACTCCATCTGCTTTGTATTTCCCCGTTGGACTGAACTGCTGTGTTCCAGAAGCCCTAAAAAGGAAAAGAAGGTGCATGAATCCTGTGCCAGGAGAAAAGCTGTGCCCTGCAGCCAGGGTAAAACCACATGTGTCATGAAAGGAGGACAAATAAAAAGGTGGCTCCAGAGGAGAGCACAGAGCCAAGGGTTTCTCGTTTCCCCTGCTTTGAACTCATCCGCAGCCTGGGTCAGAGAACTCACAGGAAAAAGGGAATGGAAACCAGCGAGGAGGGAGAGCTTAGCACAAGCAAACCCAAGCCCTGGCAGAGGAAGAAGCCCGACCCTCACCACAGCAACACGCATGCGTGCAGGTGAGGTGGAGGGCTGTGGCCTCAGCGCTCTCTGGATCTTCCCCACAGGGACCCCCACCCCAGGGACTTTTCTGGGTGTGCAGCCCACTGCAGCACAGAATAGGAACAGGGCGTGGGATTGGACCTGCTGTGCGGCTCACTGCTCTGGGGCCCTTCCCTCTTTAAGTTTCTGTTTCTTAACCTTAAAAACAGAGAGAAACCCAACTCCTGCCCCATCTGCTCTTAGGCCATGTTCACCCTAAGAGCCAGGGTTAATATGTATGTGTTAGACACCATGGTAAGTACTTCACATTTATTATTTATCTGTATTTACAGTGATAAATGATTCAAGCTAAGTAACAGCGTTACATTCATTACATATAATTTATTTATATTGGCTTATTTAGTCCTCACAGTCAGCCCATTAAGTAATCATTACTATCTTCCCTTTCTAAACAGGTAAACAGGTCGGTCAGTGGCCCAAAGCCACACAACCAACAAGCGATGGCTTTGAGAGCCGGCCTTACTTAGTGTCTCAAATTGTTTTTAAAAAGCAGAAGAGTAGGGATGCAGCCAAGAGCCCTGGGTTCAGTCCCCAGTATTTAAAAAATCCCCATGGACCTCAGAGAGCCTCTCTTCCTGGGCAGCCTGCTGCAGTGACCCATCTATGTGTCCCCCAGAATGTAGGTTCAATGTTATCTCTTCCTCTAAGGCTCAGCCATGCAGCTGGGAGGAAGGGTTGTGCCGTGAAGCCTGCTGACAGCCGTGAGGACTGTGGGGGCAGGGATGAGCTGTGGGCCAGGCAGACAAACTACAGGGCTGGCTGCACCCCACCTGCTCGCCCCTCTGCGCGGAATGGGGATCCAGGTGACAGAGCAGCTGTGAGCATGCTGTCTGGGCTGGGAGGGGTGGTACACCTGGTTCAAGGGTACACCTGAGCATTAGAGCTTTCTAAGGGGGTTCCCTGGGGTTATGCTAGTTAGGGGGAGGTAGGACACACAGGAACACATCCTCCAAGGGGAGCCCTGGAGCCCAGCTTAGGCTGCCTGGTACACACAGCCCTTGTACCCAAGGCATAAGTGCCCACAGCTAGTGCCCCTGCAGCTGTGCCAGCAGCAGCTAAGCAGCAGTGACAGGGCCCTTGGAATCACTTACAGGGTGACCACAGCTCGCTTTCGGCTCCCAGCCTGCCAGAGGATGTCCGTGATGGCCAGCGCCAGGCAGCGAGAACGAAGAGCATCTGAAGGCTTCAGCTGCCTGTGGGCATGAAAAAAAAAAAAAAAAAAAAAAAAAAAATTAGCTGGGAAGATAGCTCAGTAGAGTAAGTGCTTTCCTCCTGAGTTCAATCCCCAGTACTGCAAAAAAAAAAAAAAAAAAAAAAAAAAAAACACAATACATTTATGCTCCAGGGACACAGCAGAGATGGTGCAGCCCACGGAGCATGGCCAGGTGGCCCATCTCTTCCCTGGCCCTCAGGAGTTCACACGGGAACTCCAGGGCTAAGCCGGAAGCACAACGCCCTCTCCTGAGGAGGCCCAGGGAGGAGGCCCAAGGAAGAATGGAAGGAGGAGGCAGAGGAAGCCACCCACTGCAGGACAGAGACTGGGGGCCTGGTGGGCTGGGAGCTGCTGACGAAGGGCCACATGCTCTGAGAGACCCCGAGGCTGAGCCTGGCACACCCCGCTGCCATGGCTACAGGGCCCGAGAAGATGGCAGCCTGACTGGCTGGATACTTGCACACAGACATGGGACAATGGGCACAAGAGGACAGAAGGAGTGGTCAAGCATGACCTCGTGGCTTCAAGGGGTACGCAGTGCTGCCGCCCATCGAGACAAGGAGTATGTGGCTGCAGGGGGCCGCTGGGGAGGCGATGAAGAGCTGCCCTTCACACTCATTGAGCTTAAGGTGCACCTTGGCAAGCACAGGAGAGGGGCTGGGCTGGGCGGAGACTGACCAGAGAGGGTAAGGACGGCAGAGCAGCTGCCAGCCCAGGGTGCAGCCTGCACACCTCTGAGCTACCAGGGTCAGAGAGACAGAGCAGGCTGAGCGCAGGCAGTGACGTGGGCTAGGAGCAAAGGATTTGAAGAAACACGGGCAGGCAGCGCTACTGGAAGTGGCAGAGAGCCGCCTTGCAATAATGATGGTGACTAAGAGGTTCCTGGTGTATGGAGGGAATGAAGGGGAGGAAGGGACACAGCCAAATATACATGTCGCTTTCCACGTGGCATTTCCAGGGCTCCTTCGGGCTGCACTAGTCTTCCCCTGCATTCTGTGAATTTTTTTCTGATTTCAAAAGCTAAACTAAATGGGTCTCTCCTCTTCATGAACAAAAGGGCTTGATGAAGATCCCGCTGGGAGTCAAAGTAATGGGGGGGATTCCAACTTTTTAGTCACTAAATGACACCTGGATCCACACTCTCTCTGAGCGCACTGGAACGGCCTGTCATCCCACTCCTCAGGAGGCTGAGCTGGGAGGATCGTGTGTTCAGGAGCAGCCTTGGCTACACAGCAAGACTTTCTCTCAAAAAACCAAAAAAACAAAACAAAACAAATAAACAACACAGGCGTGTGTGCGCATACACAGACACACACACACATACACACACACACACACACACAGAAACTTATCCTACCTCTCAGGGCAAGAGAAAGGAAGCAGAAGGCCAGGACGCAGCCAGCAGGAGGGTAGCGAGTGCTCACAGTCTCGGGTGGGACATAGCCAGGGATTTATAGCCAGGCTGTTGTGGTCCCACGACTTGAAAATGAGAAGTGCCTCAGTTTCCCCATCCAGAAACTGGCAATGACAACTGCATCCCCTTTTAGTGTTGGTAGCTGGGCACAAGACAGTGTCGTGAGGCTCATGGCCCATGCCTGGCATGCAGTCAGCGTCCAAGCAGTGGTTCCTACCACCACTGAGTTGTTAAAACGTCCAGTCCTCAGAAGGGTGCTCCCAACATCCGCTGTGAAACTGACTTTATGTACCTGACACTGCAAATCCTCCTCATGCAACAAGGCAAGCAGCAAGAACTCAGAGTTCCTAAGAAAACCAACCAGCACACTACCTGACCCTCTCCAGGCCCAAGAAGCTGTTTTGCTCCTCACAGGAAATGGCCACTACTACGCTATCACCCTCTGGACAACCTGTACTTCTGGGAGCCCTGGGCTGGGGCTGAGAAAGCATCCCTCAAGGTTTCAGAAGAGGCTTTGCCAAGGACTACGGGGAGCTGGAAGGCAGAGCACATCAAATGAAGGAGAAAGGACCTGGTGTTTATCTGTGGACTCAGAAACCACAAGAGTCTCCTGGTTCATGCCCTGCCCTCTTCTAAGAGGTGGCCATGTCCCACCCCCATCAACCCCCATCTCACCCTCAAGCTCCTCTGCCCCCATCCTCAGCTGAGCTGTAAGCCCATGTCCCCCTCAGCCCTTCTACGCCTCCAGACCACCTCCAGGCCCCCACATACCTGTGTGCACAGGGTGGAGGGATGTCTTCACTAGGTGCTCCCCAATTGAAACCTTGACCACCAGTAGGATGCCCAGATTGTATACCCTGCTTAGATTACCTGTGCTGCAAAAGCTCCATGCATGGAACAGAGAGGACCCCACCAGAAACCATGCTCTGCCACCTACAGAGGAGGCACGCCTCTGTTGGAAGCCTCTAGGTGCAGGGACAGAAAAGATTTTAAAAGCCTATCTATGCTAAGCATTTATCCATGCAAGGTAAGTACTTTATACGTATCATTTCATCGAATCATAAAAACAACCCTATGAAGTAGGTACCATTATACTTTTTAAAGTAGGGAAACTGAGGCATAGTACAATATATCCAAGGTCTCACTGTTAGCAAAAAGTGAGAGAAAAAAAAAAAAAAAACATTGAGGAAGGAAGGAGAGCTCAGGGGAATAGAACCAACTCTCAGAACCAAAGTCACTCTGCCTCCGAGTCCGTCTTTCCAGCACCTGGGGATGAGGTCAGGAGGACTTGCTCTGGGCCTCCCCTGGGGCCTGCAGACTCCGCTGTCAATGTCACTGCACCTCCAGCTCACCACCAGCTCCTGCATAGTAAGTCTCCAGTCTCCCGCACTTCCCTGGTTCTCTGTCCTTCTGAGATAGAGGGGCTGGGAAAGCGCAGTGGTCAGATAGTTGCGAAGCCTGGCCTCTCTCCAGGCTCACAGGATTGGAGGGTGGGGCTGGGCCCTCCCTGGCCCTGCTGTGAATGTACGCATGGAGCCAGATGCCCGCTGCCATCATTGCTGTCTTGCCCCTCCGTCCTTTCACTTGCCCCAGCGCTGACAGGGCAGTGTGCACGAGTGTGCCTGCAAGCTCATCCTCCTGGAAAGTGTAGAAGGAGGAAGGGTCACCCAGACCCTGCCTCCACCCAAGAGCTCAGCAGTGGTCTTCACCTGTGGCCCCTGCGTCACCATGAGGTCCCATGTTGCCTAGGATTCGCACACAGCTGTCATAGTCCTACCAGGAGTCGGGCACCTGGCCAGGCTCTTAGAACAGAAATCTCTCTAAGAGTCCAATTCCTCCCAGGAAAAGTATCCAGGGAGGGTGAGGGTAGGGAATATTACATCCTGCACTTGCCAAAGTGCTTCTACTCTTAGTGCTATATCTCAAGACAGCCTCTCCAGCAAGTGCTGAGTTCCTCAATTTTAGAAGGGAAGTAGACGTGAGAGGACAGCATCCCTGATGTTCCCTGGGCCAAGCCAGCCAACCTCTGAAGGCCCTTCCTGGCCTAGGGCTCTGTCCAGGCCCTCAGGGAAAACAAGAGCTCCACTTCTCTGCCCAACAGCCAAGGGCACAAGCCCTCCTCAAATGGAAAAACACTGAGGCCTGGCCAGGCCGAGGGACAGAGAGGCCGGCTGCCTGCCTGATGGAATGAGTCTTAATGAGGCCAGACAGCCCTGCAGAAAAAACACTGCCGCTGCCAAGCAGCCTTCATTTCAGGACAACTGCCCTAGAGGGTGTCACTGCATCCTGCGCTCTGCTTTCACAGAACCACAACCCCTGGCCCAGGACTGCAGACCCCATGTGCAAGAAAGAAAAGGGCCAGCCCAGGGCAGTGAGCCACAGACGGGTGGCAGGGCAGGCTGGCAGCAGGGCACTGTGCACCCGCAGACAACAGAAGACTGTGCCTCCTGCTTGAAAAGCTAGATCATTTGTGAAATCCTGGCATTTCAGAATCAAAGGGAGGGCTGCACCCCCAAAGCCACCCAGGGCACAGGCTCTGGGCAGAGGCAAGGACAACCCCCCAGTCCATCAACATGAATTACAGGTCAGTCCCTGGATGCCGAGGAGCTGGGCAGGAGCAGCCCATGCACAGCCACTCCACTTTGCTCTCTCCTCTGTACTCTTTGTGCTGAATGATTCTAAATTAGGACAAAGAGGAGGCTCTTCAGAGAAGCCCTTCCCAAGCAGAGCCACCTACAGCATCTCAGAGTCTAAAGGATGTCCAATGGTTGGCTCTTTCAAACACACAGCCAACTGAGGCCCAGCAGCAGTGAGACAGACAGGGTGTCAGGTACCACTCGGCCCTGCCATGGTACCACCCCTTCCTCCCAGCCTGTTCCCTTCCTGTGCTTCCCAGCACTGTGAGCTACACAGCTTTCCTCTGACACATCCCTCCTCTGTGGCAAAAGAACCAACCAACCAGGGACTGAAATCTCCGAAACCATCAGCCAAAATAAACCTTTCCTCATATAAACTGATATTCTCAGGTATTTGGTCACAGTGACCAAAAGCTCGCTAATACAGGGATACAAAAGTCCTTACATTCCTTGGTGGGTGGTATGGTAGGCAAACAGGAGTTGCACCAGCCTTGTGCCCCGGGCAGGATCAGCCCTTAATGAAAGCAACATAAACACTACATCCTGGTTGTTCGGAAACCATTCACGACTTTCCCCAAAAGTGCAAAGCTGAAATTCAAAGGCGATTCTTCAGCCATGGGCTGAAGTCAGGAGACATTGCTCACAAGGGCCAAAGCTTACTCAGAGGAGTGGGTGGTCCCGAGAGCCCCGAGGCCCTTCTGGGGGCCTGGCTCTACCTCACCTCCAGGCCCCAGGTCACACTGCAGCCTTGGCCCATGCTAGCACCACTCTGCCCTCAGCCCTCTGCCCTCAGCCCTCTGCACAGCTTGTTCTCTTTACTGGAAATTGATTCTACCTCCCCCACTCGCTCGTTTGTCTGGATAGCTCATTCATTCGTCCATGCGTTCATTCAACAAAAATTCTGAGGGCCTCTCCTGTGGTCCAGAGAACCAGCTGGCTGCTAGCAAGGGCTGTGGAACAGGCAGCCTGGAAAGGCTCTGTTCTCATGGAGCTTGTGTTCTGTAGCGAGAGGAGCAGACACAGACATGTGAGTCTGATAAAGAACAGGAGTGGGGCCAGGGAGATAGCTCTGTAGAATAAGCGCTTGCCTGGCAAACGCAAGGGCCTGAGTTCCATCCCCAGTTCCACCACAAAAAAAAAAAAAAAAGATAAATATTCAACAGTGGTTGTTATATTGCACATTGTTGTCTTCAGTGAAGTTGCTCAGATTGCCTGAGTTCAATCCCCAGTTCAAAAAAAAAAAAAAAAAAAAAAATCCTGAGGAAGTGAGAGAGGCTTCCTGTGTGTATTAGGAAGGGACATAGGCAAATACTTCTGTGCTCAGAGTCCTTGCACCCTTTGCGGGCAGCCAGAGGTCCCCCGCTTAGCAAGTGCCACACCCTCAGAGTGCTCTGGGCACTGAGCTGTGCTGGCCTCACCAGGTGGTCTCTGCCCAACATTAAACTCAAACCTCTACACTATGCTGGGCCAGCCTCCCAGAGCAGGCAGAGGTGTCCCAGGGCAGGAAGTAAAACAACCTTCAAGGACAGGGCAAGATTGGATTATGGAAATGTCACAAGTTGGATTTACAGGTAGTATCTTTTAATCTCCCCATAACCTGATAATTGTCTTGTAAAATAATTGAAAAAATTGTAAGATGTTAAAAAGGAAAAATGACCATCAGATGCTGTCTAAAGCAAAATCCTGTACACTGCAAGAGTCCTACTGAGGACCAAGCTCGGCTGCCCCTTCCCTGCCATTTCCAGAGAATTGCATCTCAGACCTGAGCGGGCCTTGTCCTGACAGCGCCTGGGCATATTTTAAAGGTTCTAAAATACTCACGTCAAGCAACAAGTAAGTGCCTCTCAATAAAGTTCAGGAACTGGTAAAAACTAAGCTATGAGTTTAGAGCCTGTTCAGCTCTAAGTTTAGCAAGCGAGTGGAGTGAGTATCTATGGGCCATAAGCAAAAGATTCTCCTAAGCCCTGGGGATATTTTCTCTCATAATCTGGGTAATGTTTCGTGGGAGTGCACTTTTTAAATGTTTCCACTAAAAAGAAAAACATGAGTCCCAGAGGTCCTCTAGCTCTGTGACTGGGTACAAGCTAATAACTGAGCATTCATAATAATGGAGGAAAATGAAAGAAGGCTACCTCCTTTGGGGGGCCTTGCTGGCCTGCAGCAACCCCCCCCCCCCCGCACGTTGTATCGCGGCACCAGCCACGTGGGGTTGTGCCTTTCTCCGGGTCGCTGGACCTTGTGGAGCATCTCTGCAGCGGGGAGAACGTATCTGCATCTTCCTGTTTCTCCGCTGCCCCCACAGAGACATTCCAGAAGCATGAGTTTCCCAGGTGCAGACACTTAGTGCATGAACTGGGAAATGCGTGGCTGCCTGCGGAGGAAGGGATATGCCGGAGGAGCAGCCGGGATGTGCGGCTCAGGCTGTTGGCAGCAGGGTGTGTGGAAAGGAGGGCAGCCGGGGACTGGGCCCAGCAAGACGATGGGAGCGTGGAAGGCATTGCAGCTGCTGTGCAGCTTTCTGAGGGGACAGTGGGCTCAGTTTGGATGCTTTCGGCAGCCGCTAATCACAGGGTACCCTGCCCACCAGCCCTCCCAGTTCCCAGAAAGGAAGGCAGGCGGGTCCACGGAGCACTGGTCAGCGTGGGCCCTGATGGCTGGCTGCCATGACCTCTCCCATCGTGACCTCCAGGAGAGACGGGAAACATCAGGGAACACACACACTTCCCTGCCTGTTTGTTCTGGACACCCTGCAGCTGCCTGGAGAAAGGCACACATGGCCCAAGCTAACACAGACTTACGCAGTGCAGTCGACTCCACTCTCGCCTCCGAACAGGAGCTTCTGCAACACACAGCCTTGGACGGCTGCCAGCACCCCACAGGGGCCACCCTGCAGAAAGTGAGTGACACGTGTCAGCACCAGCACCAGGGTGGGGCAGTGCCAAGGTCCCACCCTGCCAGCCCCAGCCCAGGCTACAGAGCACAGTACCGCTGCCCCACTCCCTCACCAATGGTGGTCTCTGGCATGGTGACTATCTGTAACCCATTGGCACTGAGTCGGGAAGAGGGGGTGACAAGGCCCCAGTGCCCACCCCGAAAGAAAAGGATGAGCCTACGAGGCATTATGGGAGGAAAGTGACTATTCTCAACCAGTCATAAGCAAAGCCAACAATGTTGGATTTGACAGGCCTGGCCATAGGTTTCCCATCATGCAGGGAAATGCTTCAGTGTGCATAGGCTGAGAGTGTCGGTCATGCACTGGACCTCGAGACCCATCCTAGGGGCATTCTCCTCCAAGAAGCCTCCCCTGACTATCTCAGCTGGCAGAGAACTGGTACAGCAGCATTTGCTGTCTGAGTACTCTTCTGCCTGCCCCGAGGGCCACCTCAGCACCGCACTAGATGTGTCCTTGACGCCCTCACTCTGTAATACGGGAGATCCTGGAAGAGCTCATCCTTGAACGTGACAGGCCTGGCCTAGCCCCTAGTCCCTAGGACACATCAGCAAACATCAGTGAAATTACACAGCACTGACAGCACCGGGAGCAGCAGGCCAGAGGTGCCTCTGAAGTGGGGGGGTGCAGGGAGAGGAGCTGAGCTTCTCTGTGTAAGGGAGTGGCTGAAGCCAGGGGTCTCTGCACTAGTAGGCACCATGGGGTTGGAGGAGGCCTTGAGACCCCAAGAAATGGAACTTGCGTAAGTTGCCCTATGCCATGCAGTACCCCTTAGCCCCAGAGTCAGCATATCTTCAGGCCTTCCTGAGTGTATCTTAGGAACTATTCCAGGTCACAGGCAAAGCCTGCCACCTGTATTTCTCTTTCTTGCTTCTCTTCCGCTTTCTTCTCTGTACATGGACACCTCAGCCTTCTTCTGCAGACTCCAGACTCCTCCCAGCCTCCCCTGCACCAGCCTAGCATGCCTCGTCCCCCGCTCCACCTGCACAATCTGGGGCCTTTGCAAGGCTCCACCCAGAAGGCTACACTCCAGCATCCCAAGTGCACTCAGGGCTGCCTTCTGCCCCCCCTAGAAGGCACCCCAGGTGGTGCAGCACCTGCAGTAAGTGGCTGTTCTGCTAGAATGTCCCCAAAGCAGAGAGTCCCCAGCCACACAAGGAGCCTGCCTCAAAGACCATTCAGTAAACCAAGGACTGGCTGGGCCTGCAGAGCCACGAAGCACTGGCACCCCACCCCTAAGTGTAGGGGCAGCCTGCCTTGTTCTGAACGATGCCGTATCTTAAGGAAGCTGTGTCACTGAAGGAAAAGCTCTGGAGCTTCCATTCCTCATTGAAGCAGCAAAAGGTAGAACCAAACAGAAGCATCTTGATTTCCTGTGGAAAGAAGAGAGTGTTAGTGGTTATTTTCAAAGTCAACACTACCATATTCGGCATGCACATCTCTGCAGGGGTTGGACTCGAGTTCCAGCAGGGCAGTGCATTTTCTAGCAAGGTCATGTCTTTCTTTTTTTTTTTTTTTTTTCAAAGCCCGTGCTTATCATATTTGAAAGAGGAGAAACCCAACCTTGAGGGTCTTACAAATGGAACATCTGAAAACCAAACCAGTCTGAGCTAACATGAGCCAAAAGTTTGTAAGTTCCTTATGCAGACCTTGAAAGGTGAAACCAGTTTTCCAAAGGATCTTAGCAGTCCTCCAATCCTCCACAGGAAAGACTCGAAGCTTTTTAACCTGCCCTCCCCTTGGAATCACCTAAGGGGCTCTTAAAAATAATTCTGTCTATGGTTGCATTTATATTACGACCACAGAGACCACAGGACAAGAAAAACTGAAAATATGCCGCTTAGCCTTTGACAGAAAAAGAATCCCCTCTGTGACACAGCCTGTGCGTGACTGCCTGTGAACTCTGCCGGGGCACCCGGCCTCTTCCCAGCAGCCCGCCATTTTCTCAGAGCTGTCTTCTCCAGGCCTCTGGAGGCTGTTGCCCTCACTGTTCGTCTCCCATCAACCCAAGCACCACCATCTGGAGTCCCAGGATTAACCCACTGGGAAGTCCCTGAGAGGGAGGTGGGAGCTCTCCCCACTCCACCTTCATGAGCCACCCCTGGGGATTCTGAAGACCCAAGTGAGTCCCAGGACCAACAGACAGGTTCTGAGGCCCCCTCCACTGGATCCCACTCAGGACAAGCCTGGCTGACTGACACCCATTACTCCCTGCCAGGATCAGTTCTCTTTGTTATCTTTCAGTATAAGCAACTCTCTCTGTCAGAAGTGTTTGTGTCATCTGGTTTGAGCCGGCGGCAGTGCACAGGAGGTATGAGTGCATCTGACAGCTCAGTCCACACCCTGGGCCCACTACAATCATCTCTGTATTTGAGTCACATTCTCTGGGAGCCTGGAGCTACAGAGATTTGGATTTTCTAGCCCAACTCCCTCTCTGTTATTCTAGCTACAGTCGGACAGTCCTGGCTAGATGCAGCGTAGGGACAACCCAGAAGTCTCTACTAACCCCCATCTCCTGGTCCCCCTCTTCTCTCTGCTGGCTCACTGTTCTGCAGATGCTTTTGCTGGGTGGTCTTTAGGGATACCTAAGGGCCTGAGCCAAAAAAGATACCTTTTATAAAGAGGCCCAGCCTTGTGGCTACAGTGACCAGAGTGAGTGCCCCCAGCTTTTGGTCCCCTTAAATGTGGGTTCAAAGAGAAAAAGGAAGGAGAAGAAAACAGAGAAGAGAAAGAAGGGAAAGGAAAAAGTCTCTAGGAAAATCTTACATTTGTTGATCTATGTTCAAGTGAACACACAGTAGGTGAAAAGAGGAGGCTGGCTATGTTCGTGAGAGTTTCCATGCTGTCTCCTGGACCCTGGCTGAGAAGCCATGAGGTCGTCCTAGGAGCTGAGAATAGCTGGGAGTTCCACACAGCCCTAGAGAACAGGCTGCTGAGGCCAGGAACCTGCTACTCCCTACGTCCTATGACTATGGGTCCCTTCCAGGGGCCACAGGTGTAACCCTGGATGGTGCTGAACAACTGCCAACCCTCTGTGTCTTTCCCTGCAGAGGGCCCAAGACCAGTGCAGAAGCCACTGCAGAACCACAGCCAGCCTCCCCGGGACAGATGTCCCATTCTCATCACACTCACTTTGTACAGTGCCTGACAGAAATGTGGTGAACCAGCTCTGAGACACAAAAGGACCGGGTCCCAGCCAGGCACAGTGGTGCAGGCCCGAGCACACAGACCGCCGAGGCAGGGGACCACAGGCCCAAGGACAGAAGCAGCACAGGGACAGCCCAGAAGTCTCCACAGGGCTACACAGGAAGACTCGGAAAATTTATTTATCTTTTTTGCCATAATTTTATTGATAAACAAATAGCAATGAGACAGTTTCAAATCAAATCGGTAGGACAGTTTCAATAATTAACACTTTGCATACATTCTTCTTAGTGGTTAATTGCTATACAAGATATGGACTTAATATCCTATCTACAAACACCATTAGAACAAATCATTCTATTTATTAACAGAATGTAACTATATATCTATCCTAACCACTTTGAATACACAGATACAAAATGGACATTCATCTGTATACCCTTTTTTTGTTAAGTTCCGTTATTTGAATATTATAGGTGTGTAAACTCAGCAAAATATTCTAAAAGAGTCCAGTAGCCCATAATAGTGTTGGGTCTTCTGTTGGAGTGGCAATGTCAGAAATTGTTGACCTGAGTCCCCTACAGCTCAACATAACAGCATGGTTTTACTTCTTATATTTCGTTTTTATACTTTCCTTCTGGATGGTTAAGACCAAGGTAAAGCAGGACCTATGCAATAGGAGTTGTAGCTTTTGGGTCTGATAAGGTCAGTGAAATCCCCTAGACTCAGGAAATTTAAAACAGTAATAAAACAAAATGCTTGGATAAGGACGATACACCCTTCTCCCTCCCTCTTAGTCTGGGTGAGGGAAAGAGATCTGCCAGGACCTGAAGGGGTTTCCTATCCCTTGGCTGAAATTTCCTTGACATTACAGTCAAATTTTCAGTTCAGCAATAAAAAGATTACAATGAGGACTGAGCCCCAAATCAAACTTGTGCCATCCATGGGAGCCCATATGGAACACACAATTCTCCTTCCGCTTCTGAGGTAGCACCTACCTTGGCTTCTGAGAGGTCAATTGGCTTTGACACTATCTTCAGCTTGAGCACTGATGGGGCTGGGGCCAGGATGATGTCCTCCCCTGTCAACTCATCCTCCACATCCTCTGGAAGAAAATCATGACCATGGTATGACCCATGAAGAATGGAATAGGCAGTCAATAATGTCACACACTCTAGTAAATTCAGAACCAGCTTGAGCAGGAGGAGGCTCCTCCCACCTCCACCAGTGCTCGCTCTGGGCCCCCCCCCAGGGCTTCACTAGAAGGAAAGAAAGCAGGCCAAGGGGGGGCCTTGGTCCTTTCCCCTCTTAGGCCACCAGGATGTTGATGGCTGGGATGTACCACTGGCCCACTAGAAACTGTCACATGATGGTGCAGAATGAATTAATTGCTGGGACCTGGGTGCAGAAAAGCCTGGCTTACAGACACCTTTGACAAGGGCTGAACAGGTCTGTTGCCTGAGGACACGCATGAAGAGGACAGACTGAGGAAAGAAAATGTGTTCAGTTCTTAAATAGTAGCAGCAGCAGCAGCAGCAGCAGCAGCAGCAGCAGCAGCAGCAGCAGCAGCAGCAGCAGCAGCAGTTCATGTTTACTGACCACCTGGATTGCTGTATCCAATCCTTAACACCCTTGTAAGAGAATATTTTCTTTTTTCTTGTTTCGGCACTGCCGGGGATAAGCTACATCTGTAACCCCAGAGACTCACTGTGCCTCTTCCACTGACAGATGGGGACACTGAGGCATAGAGGAACACACTGGCTGGCCCCACGTCAGGCGACCGGAACGTGGCAGATACAGGCTGTGCACTGCGGTGTTAATTGCTTTCCCATCCTGCCTCCCCATAGCGATCCGCAGAGACACTAAACTGTATCCAGATTCTGCTCTTCTGAGTTGGGACAACTGAGACCCAGAGAGGCTTCCACAGGAGTCATGCGTAGAACTAGCTCCCAAGTGTCTAGTTGACCTAGGCCCCCCCCCCGCACCCTTCCACCCTGGCATTTGTCACAACACTCAGGCAAAGGACCCAAGGGAGACAGCTCCAAGGTAAGGATGCTGGCACAGCAAAGCGTAGCGGGCTCCAGAGGGCCCTTACACTACAGTCCCCCAGAGGAGCTTCCACAGTGGCGTGGCTGGGATGCAGGGCACCAACATCCCCGGGACACGCAGCTCCTATCTTACTCCACACGCTCCTTTTCTGCCCTAGGACAGACCCAGCCATAGCACAAGGTAAACTAGAGACTGTGGCCACTGAATTAGGAGACTGATCTACCCTTAGGCTGAAGAAAAGTCTGGAATTTAAAGAACAAGCTGAATTTCAATGAGAACCCCTCTTGGTTACAAACCCTGAAAAAGCTACCCCATGACCTAGCTTTACAAAAATAACCTAAAATAAAGACCAGATGTTCACCCAGCCTCAAGAATGGATCTGAAAACATGGCATGGGGTACAGAAAGTAAGAAATGAGGTGTATAATGTGATACTATTTACATTAGGCAAAAATACACGCAAAGCCATCGGCCAGCAGCAGGACTGAGCACAAGCCCGAGGGCATGGCTGGTTGTAGACGAAGAATTTCCAGGGGGTGCGTGGAGTGAAAGCAATGAGGAAGGGGAGGAAGCGGGGGGAGTTTTGCCTGACAGAACTGCCTGGAAGAACGGAGATGCAGAATTCATTCGCTGGGGCCCCCAAGGTGAGGGCTGTGGTAATCTGCGAGACTCCACCAGGTCCAGCGCGGCATTTTCCAGCAGCACAGAAGGGACAGTATCTAAGCCTATACAAAGGTCTCTCTTTAGTCTTACATTGTCAAGAGGGAGCAGGGCCTGTCCAACCCCACGAAGTGAGCCAGGAGCCCAAGAAGCAGGTCCAGAAAGCATAGGAAGGACAGCTCCTGGGCGCAGGCAGCCTCCCTGGGCTTCTTGGGGAAGTGCTGGCTGGCTTGGTGCAGGGAACTGGTTGAGGACCACAGGGCAGGCCTTGGGCCCAGATGTGGTGAGACCACCATGCAAGGGAAAAACAGAATGCTCCAGAACAACATGTTGGCCAAGCAAAAAAACCATCTGAGAATGCCAGTGGTTTGAGGATGCTATTTTTAAGGCACTCGTATAAATGTCTGGTTGAAAGTAACAAGGAGAGAGAGAGAGAGAGAGAGAATTTCATTTTAAGAAGAAGTCCACAGGAAGAATGACCTAAGCTGTTTTTCCATATGAGCTATTTGAATACTACATCCTTATCAGCAGGTCAGGACTTCCCACTAACCCCCAAATATCTTCTGCACTTCTCCAGCCTTCCACTTTGGTACAAGCCTTTCCCTCTGCCCACCCTTCTGGGGCACCCCAGGCTGCAGTCGCAGCCCTCTCCCACCTACACACTGCTGCAGCCTTGGGCTTATGCCACCCCTAGGATGCCTCATTCCTTCCCACTACCCTCTTCCCTCCATGGTTACAAGGATGTCATTATGTTGCTATTTGTTTGTTAAATGTTTTCTTGCACACCTTTGACTGATGTACCAGAGACGGTGTGGAGCAGAAGAAGTCAAACACTGATGAAGGCCTTCAAAGAGCTCCATACCCTGAGGGGGAGACAGAGTCCCCCACAAACATAACATCGTAAGTGAGTACAGAAATGGGAAGCAGAGCAAAGGTCTTAGCAGCAATGAACTCTGCCAGAAAAGGTCAGGGAAGTGTCCCATAGAGGTGGTGTTTGAGCAGGGTCCTGGAATATCCAGAGGGCTCTCCAGGGGGCACAGAGCCGCATCACGGCTTCCCTGGACTCTCCCAAGGCACCTCTTGCAGTCTCCAATGTCCAGGTTCTTACCCTAAAATCCAGCTTTCACCAAAGCTCTGGCTACATCTGCACCCCTAGTGCAGATGTTCAGGGCCCCTTACCGCCCCACAGTTCACCACTCAACACTCCTGTGCAGCACTCACAGGCCTCTGCCACTCCAGCCCCAACCCCATGCCCCTGGCCCTCCACTTCCTGTAGGTCACACTCCTCCAGCCAACCTGCCTGTCTCACCCTAGACCTTTCCTATGCATTCCCTCCCACACCTCTGTTTGGCAAGGCCTCGCCTATCCTTCGAAATCCATCCTAGATGCCAACTTGCTATGGAAACTTCTAGAACCCACCACAGAACTCAGCATCCACTTTCCCAGTGCACCGGGGCACGCTGGTCGTATGCATCGTGTGCTGCCATGGAAGGACATCCTCCCTCCTTTGTCCCCAGCCCTGCCTTCTTTCACTGTTCTGGACTGCCACAGAGGCAAGATGCCCTGGTGAGGACATGCTGACAAAAGTCACTGAGCCAAACCACAGGAAACTGGGTTGGGACAGGGAGGGGTGCCACCCCTCTAACAACATGTCAGCCTGTTTCTGCACCCTGCTGTGTCCCCTTCCCCTCAACTATTCTTTGCTCTGTTCCCTATCCTCTCGGTGATTGTGTCCCCTGGGCTTATAACCTGCATCTCCTTTTCCTTTCCTAAGCCGTTAGCTGCACCACCCAAACATGCGCACACCAAGCAGCTGGCTTCTGAGAACTGCTAAAAGCCTTCCTTTTAAGAGAAGCGCTCTGGGTTCTGAAGGCTGGGAGCTGCTCTACTTTCTGCCCAGACATGAGCGCCTTTCGTCAGCAGGTCCTCAAGCACAGGGCTTCCCAGAAGGCTGTGGTGTCAGCGGTCCCTGACTCCACCCTTTGCTGTGCACCGCCAGGGACAGAAGCCTGCCCTTCTTGGGCAGGGCTGGGTCACCCGCCAGCCCTTTCTGGTGATTAAGACTTGGGGCTGAGTTACCTCTGAAGTGAGTTAAGCGGCATGAACAAGCCCTGTCTCTTGGTGTTCAGGGGCCTGGCCCTCGCTTTCAACCTGATCAAAGCAGACCACGGGGCCCCATGGCTCACACAGGGCACTTCTAGTGGGCATTGCTTTCTTCTTGCAGCTTAAAAGGGAATACCTAAGGGGGAAAAGTGAAGCACGTGAACAGCTCTCTAGGCGCAAATGTCAAAAGCAGTCGAGTTTGTCCTCTCATGTCTAACCCCGGGCCCAGCATCTTCTCTTTCTTTTTTTCTTTCTTTCTTTCTTTCTTTCTTTCTTTCTTTCTTTCTTTCTTTCTTTCTTTCTTTTGTATTTTAGGAAAGGGTCTACAGAGTGTTCAGGGTCTCACTACTAGATCGGACTCGCAGAGCTGGGATTACAGGTGAGTGTCACCACGCCGTCTCAATTGCCATCTCAGTGTACCCCAGGGGCAGGGCCGACAGGTGCTTTAATTTGCTGAGCTACTTGGCCAGCCCTCAGCATCCTCACTTCTGCAGCTGCATTTGCCAAGCTCTTGGTCTTCAACAAGAGGGATTGCAGGGAAGAACCAAAACTACTTCAAAACTAAAGAGCAGAATAGCATGTTCTCTATCTTGGTCTTAGGGAGTAACTCCATAAGAGTATCCATATGATATATGTTTGTATTTTACAAATTATGTTTGTAAACTTTCCAAAAGGACAGTCCTCCCTGACTCTGAAAATTTCAGTAGATCCGTCTTCTGAGAACCTCCATAGGCTCTGGGTGGTCCTAAAGAACTGCAGACACAGTGAGGGTCTCTGGTCCTGCAGTATCATCCTGAAATGACCAGACTGCTGGGAAGCACTTCTTTGGAAGGAAAAAAAAAAAAAAAAAGCAGGCAGTGAAAAATGACACGGACAGAAAAGAGATGCCTGCCCCTGCTTCTGAGATCAGGAAAGAGGAAAAGAGCCCTTCTCCCAGCTCAGAGAAAATGCCCATTGCTCACTGTCTCCCAGAGCAAGCGGCCAAGCAGACCCCGAGGTCTACCTACCAAGCTGCAGGGCATCCAGCTCACGATCCACCTTGCCGGACGCTGGCAACTGACTCTTCCTGGAAAAGAGAACACGTGGGTGAGCCAGAGCAGCATGGCAGAGACACAAGCTGCAGGGGAGCCCGGGAGGGACCCCGAATAGGAGTCTGGAGGTAGCATTGCTGGCCCCTGCCATGCACAATGTATATTGATTGGATGCCCCTCTCTCAGCCAGGGGTACCACAGAGCACAGGACTGACCAGTCTCCAAGGGGCCCGTCGTGCAGTGTTCTCACAAGGAAGCTGAACGCTCACCACCACTGGACACCGCACTGTGTAGTCTGTTGCCTGCCAGTCACTGAATACCGACTATCTCACTGGTGCCACTGCACCAGTGCTGGGAGACACCCGCACAGAGACCAGGTCCTTCTGAGCATCACACAGCACGCTTTCATCTCATGCCCATGCATCTATTCTTGGCTTATTTCCCCTCTGCCAGCCTCCCAGTAAAACCACCAGCAGCTACTTATAAGTGCCCTTTAAAATGCATCAGTATATTTAAAGGAACCAGCCCTGCATCTTCCCATTACTTGAAAAGTCACCCTATGATTCTGATTGGCAAATTCAGGTGTGTGCACACAGAACCTGAAGTGGCCCCCTAGGCCCCCTTTTACCCTTCAGTACATACCAATCGAAAGGGAAAAAAATCACTTTTTGCAAAGCACTTATTAAAAATAATAATATTACATCACTCTCCGAAAACCCATTTACTATGTTAAAAACTGACAGCTCTTTTGAATGTGGCCCTGAAATATATTTTCCTCCAACATCCTTGCAGGGTAAGATAGGACTGCAGCAACAATCACAATCTTGCCATGGCGCGCACCATTGAATTGGTTTCCTCCCACAAGATGTATGAAGGGTGTGAGTGGAAGGCTGTGGGGGACGCACAGTACACAGCCCACGTGTGAGCACCTGCTGCCTTGCGCTTGGCTCCTCTGCTGGCTCCAGAGCACGGCGCGCCCCCGGCTCCCTCTCAGGCAGCACCTTCTGCCCCCACCTGCCCATTGCTGGAGCATTTCCTCCACCCAAGTTTGACCCCGCTGATTCTAGACATTCTTGCACATGGGAACCAGTGCAAGAATGAGCCAGAAAGAGGGGTCGCAGCTCCCAGGAGAAGGAGGTGGAGTGCAGCCCACAGGAGTGCTGGGAAGGGATGACCCACAAGGCTCTGCCAGGCCACACTTCTCCACCTCTGTGTGCTCCGCTGCCCTTTCTCTTCTCTATCAGAAAGTGAGGGTGGAGGCACCAGGGGAGGTGGCCTCTACCATCTGCCTTCAGCCCTGTCTGGTAGGGACAAAGACAGATTGGAAACATTCATGCTCCTTTCTCCTGAACTCCCTTCAGCTCTCAGCCTCCTGATCTCACACCCAGATTCTGTCAGTGGCCTCTTAGGCCTTCCTGATTTCCAGTGTGGCCACCCTTTGGCACCCACCCCACACCTTCCCACATACCTTTCCACAAAGCAAGTCTGATCATGACTCTGTCCCCTGGCAGCAAGTCTCCAAACGTTCCCTGTCATCACCATCCCCACCACCAACAGCAGCCATAACCATATTTACAAAAATAACAACAGCGACAAGAAACTCCCTCTGACTGCTTTGACCGTTCTAGGCCCGCCAGCCTTAAATGCTACTGGCTTCTCAGAACAGCTGTATGAAGCAGATATTTCACCTCACTAAACAGAGAGGCTTAGAAATTTTTCCAGTGTAATACAGTAAATGTCGGCACAGAAATTTAAGCAGCAGCCAGAACTCCAAAGACCATGGCAGCAACCACCACACATAATAGATTCCTTCTAAAATAAAAGCCGGGCTCCCCAGAGTGTCCTGCAGGACTCCCCCTGAGCTGTCACCTGCCACTAGGGCTTATCTTGTTCTAGGCTTTCATGATTCGTCTGCGTTTCCCATGCTGAACATCTCAGCCCAAGACACTCAACTTCACCAAAGCAGCTCAACCATGTAGCTGGAGTGTGCTATGACGAACTCACCCTAGCCCTCCCAAACCTAACCGGAATGTCCCTTCCGCTCAGCTCCAAAATCTGCCTTTATTCATTTCCTCACTCACTCTCCCAGCATCTGTGTGTGGTTATCTAGCAGGCTTCACTCCCTATCCGGAGGACAACTAAACAGATAAAATAAACAAACATAAATTGCGTGACAGGATGTGGTCAACGGATCCGGATCCGCAAAGACACCTACATCCTAGGCCCCAGGGCCTGCAAGTGCTAGAGAACAAGGGGACTTCTGCAAATGGGATTTAGTTGGAGATCTTGAGATGGAGAGATTCTCCTGGGTTCTCCAGGTAGAGCCTAGTCACAGGGTCCTCACAAGAGAAAGGGAGAAGGCTTCTGGCACAGAGGAGGAGGAGATGGAAGGACAGAAGCAGAGACCACAGTGGAGCACACTGCGGATGGAGGAAGGCCCACAGGCCAGGGCACAGTGGGCATGGGAGAGTGAGGAAGGCAGGGAAATAGGCTCCCAGAGAGACCCACCCTGGTAGTAGCCAGTCTCTAGCCCCGCGGAACTTGTTTCAGGTCTCAGCCCTCAAGAACTATAAAATAAGAAATTGGTACTATTTTAAGCCACTGAGTTTGGTAATAGTGGACCCACCAGAATACCAAAGAGAGAGAAAAAATTTAGGAAAAAAGTAGATTACCTACAAATGGCAAAGGAAAAGTGACGCACCTAGTAGGAGTGGTAACTAAGGGGAAAAAGAGGATTCGCGGTCTTTCATGGCCCGGGTATCTAGCCTAGCGCTCCCGAAACAGGTGCTGAACGCCAGGGTGACGCTCTCAGAAGCCAGGTGACTTACACAGGGTCAGACAGCTTGGAAGTGACTGAGCCAGGACTGGGAAGCAGGCCCGGTCTCCAAATGCCGTAATCTGATTTCTGTTTTAATTTACACCCCTTCTCCTGTCCAGAAACCCCGACAGCTCCCCGGGAAGCTTAAGACAAAGTCCAGTTCTTTCCAGCGTTCCCAGTGGCTCCGAAGGGCAGTTGGGTGGCCGTGAGCCACGTGAGCGGGTGAGGATGATGTGCCCACTGAGCAGGGAACAGCCGGTCCTCTCCCTGGTCATGGGACTTCCACCCGGAGGGCCATCCATCAGCTGCAGGGGCAGCTCAGACGCTTTGTACCCGTTTCCCATTGATGTCCTCACCAAAGGAGACTTCAAGCAGGGTCACACATTGAGAATGTGCTCATTGTTCCTTTCATGTGCCTCTTTGGGGCCCAGCACTGCAAAGTTTAAAAGGTCACTTTGAAAGCACGCTCTTGCCTTTGAGTGAAAACTATTATGAACAATCATGACAAAAAAAAATAAATCAGGGGATTTTCAAAATTCTTTTTCAAAGTGTGATTGTGCAGATAAGCCAGAGACATGTGTCAAAGCATCTAATGATTGTGCGGGGCCGGGCAGTAGACACCCGGCTCGCCCGCTCTGTCTGAGCTCTCTGCTCCCACACCAGCTCTCTCTACACGCCACAGGGAGCACGAGGCCCAGGGCTCCGGGCTGAGGGCTGTGAAGGACCAGGACTCACCCTCTGAGCAGCTAGTTTCCTGGCTTGACAGTAGAAAAGTTGCCTGGCAGGCCTGGTTCTCGCCCTTGCTCTCGTCTACGCTGCGTGGCCTTGGGCAAGTCATGTAGTCTCCATGAGCACCTGGTTCCTCTCTGCACTGCGGTGGGAGCCTCTGCGTTTCTACCCACCGTGGGACACGGCCTGCTCGGGGGGCTCTGAAGGGCAGAATTTAGGGGCTCCGAAGGCCTTCTGGAGGCTACTGGAAAGTCTGAATTTTACTTTCAAAAATACCACCAAAATGTGTGTGCATAGTAATACACTCAGTACATATTGGGGAGGAGAAGTGTAGAGAGAAAACAAACCTGACAAAAATCTTAGCAATGGCTGGATTTAGTTGGAGGGTGTATAAATGTCCATTATATTGTTCTTCCAACTTTTCTGCAAGATGGAGTTTCTTTAAAGTTAAGAAGTTAAGATTGGATTTAATGGAGAGCTAATTAACCATAAGGAGGAATCTGCTGACAATATACATAATGCAACTCAGTCAGCACAGGGGTAAAATACATGAAAGAGCAGAAAAAGGCATGGGGGGCAATGTTGAAGTACATCATAGACCCAAGTGGAATTACGAGGGAAAGTAAGAAGAATGTGGGAAAGGGAACTATCGAAAAGATTACTGCGGGAGCAGGGGAGATGGCTCAGTAGAATAAGTGCTTCCCTGGCAGATGCAAGGGTCTGAGTTCAATCCCCAGTTCTGCCAATATAAATAAATACATTTTGTACAGTAATTAACCACTAAGAAGAATATATGCAGTGTATTATTTGTTGAAACTGTACTTTTGATTTGATTTGAAACTGTCTCATTGCTATATGTTTATCAATAAAACTTTGAAAAAAAAATAAAAAAAAAAAAAAAAAAAAAAAAAAAAAAAAAAAAAAAAAAAAAAAGATTACTGCGGACCAGCCAGATAGCTCAGTGGGTTAAAGCGCCTGCCTAGGCAGATGCAAGGACTGGTGTTTGATCCCCAGCGTGCAGTGCTGGTCCTGCCCCTGGGGCTCACTGAGACAGCAATTGAGACTGGGCGTGGTGGCACACGCCTATAATCCCAGCACATGGGAGGCTGAAAACAGGAGGATCACCACAAGTCTGATCTACTTAATGAGACCCGGAAGACCCTGTACTCAATACATAAAAAAAAATTCAAAAAGAGAAGATTACTGCAAAGAACTTTCTGACATGCACTTGCATGGAAACAACCCATCCTCAATCACACATGTGTGTGAAATGCACACCTCAGTGTTGCGTAGTGGACCTAACAGAACACCAAAGAGAAACAGAACAGTCTTAGGACAAAGGTAGATTACCTACAAACAACAAGGACTCTAACTTCAGACTTCTCAGTAGCAAGGTGATTAAAGCACAAGACAATGAGGTGACCCTTTGGGAGTGCTGAGAAAAATTAATGGCTGACTTGGAAATTCCAAGGGAAAATATCATGAAAG